TTCATACCAGATACCTCACCCACGCATTTTCTAAAATCTTGTATCCTTTCCTCTGTTTCTCTCTGTTATTAATTTGACTGACATAGAATGCTTTGGAGCTTAGATTTTTATCTATTGAGAATGTAAAAAAACAACAACAAAACAAATCAACTGAGGAACTACAAGATAATTAGACATGGTCAGATAAGCACTGAGAGAGGGAGGGTGGGGTATAGTCTCAAAGACATAATTTATCAGTCATCTGCTCAGGTGAGCTGTAATCATTGTAGCTACTATTACTTCTTTAGCATTTACTAGACTAATTTTTTTTTGTATATGTTTCCTCATTAAATACATCACAATTCTATGAAGTAGATGCCCTGTTTTTTCCGTTTTACAGATGGTGAAACTGAGGCTCACGCTGGGGGTGTTAAGTAACTGCCAAAATCCAGGCAGCCCAGAATGAGGTTATCGCAAGGTGGTCTGAGTCAGAGCCTGGCCTTCTGTCCTCTGACCTGTGTGTGTGTGCGGCTCTCCTTGGAGCGTGCTTTATCTCTGTAGATTAGGGGTGTCGAACTCAATCAGAGAAGGGGCCAAAATCTAAAATCCAGCCTAAATCGCGGGCCGAATGGTTTACTGAACAGTCATAAACTGTCATTGTGATGGCAACGCAGCGGAGTGCAGTGATGACAGCGCGGTGCGGGCCACATTGCAAGGCCTGGCGGGACGGATTTGGCCCGCGGGCCTTGTGTTTGACACATGTGCTATAGATGGTGGAGGGGTCATCCCTCCCTGTGCTGCAGAGGCCCAGCTGGCACTGCCCACCCGGAGTGCCCTCCAGGGTCTGCGTGCTGTGGCCAACCACCTCCTTGCGTACGGTGCCCTTGGTGCTCTGGGCATCCGATGTGGGACAGGGGCAGCAGAGTGACAAGGGGATCCAACTGAAGCTCAGATGCAATTCAGTGCAGCATGATGAGCATTTACTGAAGAGCTGCTGTATTCTGGTCTCCATCATCGATGCCAAGGATACAAGGATCAACAAGAAAAGGTTTTGCTAGGAAACACCTCTGCAGACAGAGATGAGATAGGCACTGTGGGCACTGCTCACTGCTGTCTCCTGGCACCCAAAAGAATGTCTGGCGGCAGTAATGACCCTACAAATGGTTGAAATACTGAATGAGAAGGTGCAGCCAGAGAGTGGAGAGAGTCCTGGTCAAGGCCCAGGTATCTGATGGTAGCCTGCCATTGGCGGAGGCCGGGAGTAACTTGGCATAAGGAGCTGTGAGCGCAGTATTGGCAGAGCAGACATTGATGGGTGATGAGGGCATTGGAGGGTGTTTGCAAGGAGGGCAAAAATCATTTCATATAAATAGCTCGTCAATCCATATTCTCTTCGGCTCTCACCAAAGAACGAGATGACAGCTCCCCTTCTTCTCTGTTCACACTGTTAGCTCCCTGCATGACACCCCTTTTCTTTGTCTGTCATGCCCATTGGAAGCTGCCTTTATCTTAAGAAAATAGAGGTGGGGGAGAGCACCTCAGAGCCAAACTCCTGGTGTGGCCAGCCTGTCCCATCAGGCTGGGAGAGGTCACCATTTCTTACGCAGCTCCCTCTGCTTAGCTGGCGTCCTCAGGTGACCGTGAAATGCTCAGACGAGGTCAGGCACACTGCAGTGCACACTCTCCCGAGGCCTGTGTGGCTCTGTGCCACGCCGCTGGCGCTTCCTTGCCTTTTCCTTTGGGCATGTTGGTGTTGTGGGCATGGTCCAATTTGGGCTTGGGAAAGTGGAAATAGTGGCAGCTGGTACTGTACCGCTTTCTCAGCTTCTTCCTTTGCCGACTGATGTGTAGGAAAGAACTTTGAGCTTGGGCCTAGACTGACCCCTGGATCTGGTCCCAGTTCTACCTTCATCACTACAGTCACCTTCAGCAGGTTCTCTCTCCTCCCTGAGCTTCATTCTTCTTCTCCCCAAATGAAAGGGTGGGACACACGGTCCCTTGTTGCTTCCTTTGCTCCTAGGTAGTATAAGGAGATAGAGACTTCACGATGCACTAAGGACAGTGATCCTACTATATTATTTTGGGGGGACTCTTTCTCCAACTTGGTATGGTAGGGCCTCTGACTGTGTAGATCCTTCAGGATTTATCAAGTGTCATATTTGACAAGGGGGACATTTTAAAGGATGTCCTAATATAATTGCCACTTTCCCCTGATTGTGGCATTTTAAAAGCTACCTTTGTTTTATAGCCTGAACCACAGAAATGAAAAGCTTCCTGAAGAATCAGTAGCACCCCCAACTCAACCTCCCCCCGCTGCAGGCGGCCCATTTCTCTGACTTGTTCCTGGACTTGTGTTCATGGGCAGATTTCCGGGCCTTGTTTGCCGTGTCCTTTTCATGCACACGTGTCCTGTCTGCCTCGGTCAGAGGCACTGCCCCAGGGGCACGCTCAGATCCAAAGGTACCTTCGGTTCCCCTTCTCACTCTGCACACGAGGAAACGGGAGCCTGGCAGGCTGCAGGACATGCCCACGTCCTGTACGTGGGCCCAGAACCCGGGAGGGATGCCCTGCCTCGTGCTCTGCCCCACTGCTGCCCTGCAGGCAGGCCATGGTGTTCCTAAGGTCCCACTGCTTTTCCGTTAGGACATCTTGACTGACTGGCACTTGCTGAGATCTTAAAACCGCCTGTTTTTGAGGCAGAGAAACTCGTGGAAAAGTGTGATGTCTTTCTCCCAGGATGACACAGTCTAGCTCTGGCCGGAAATAGATCCTTGGGTTTCTTTTTCCACTTATTCTCACATCTGGTCATTGCCACGGTGAACTTAAATGAACCAGCTCATAGTTGAGATTTCTTTCTTTTCTTTTCTCTTCTCTTCTTTTCTTTTCTCTTCTCTTCTTTTCTCTTCTCTTCTCTTCTCTTCTTTTCTTTTCTTTTTTTAAGCAGTGCGGTACAAGTCTTAATACGTTAATTTTCCTGTTTTGAATTTTACAACAGTGCCTCCATTTGTCAAGGTCAGGACTGTCTGTCTCTCAGTGTTTCTTTCTCCCTGGCCTTGTCTGGTGGCTAGAGCAGGGATGGGTCCAGCAGACACCCAGGTCTCTGTGCCTGGAGCCCTTCAGGCTGCTCCGTCTAGCTGTCGCCTAGGTAACCGACATGCAGCCCGCAAAGCAGTCTGTCCGCAGTGAGAGGAAATAAAAAAATGAGACGGCAGTGTTTATTATTGATGCTCTACACATTTTTTGAATGTGACCGGATTTCGGAAAGGGGTGGCTTCACTGCTCCGCTGGGTGTCGGCCTCTGTGCCCAGCGTGTGGCCCGAATGTTTCCGGAATTGCATGTGTCTGTTTTCACAGCGGGCACTTCCACGAGACCTCGCGTCTGTCGAATGCAGCTGAATTTTCACTCCCTGGCGATTCCCAGGAGCACCGCAGTTCATAAAAGTTTTATGCACAAGCGGGAAAGCAAACATACCCCACAACTTATTTGGTTGGGTTTTGTGGGTGTTCGTGTTTTTTAAAAAATGCCCCTTCCTGTGGGGGTGTTTTTCCGTTTGGTGCACTCTATTTCCTTAGTAACTGTTACTCTGTTATGGGAGGGGCTTAATGACATTTTCAAGTGCAATATTGAATTAATTATTTCCTGGTTAGTCCTGCCCATCTTCCCGGGATAAATAGAACGCCTGTGTGTGAGTGTATGAGTGTGTGTGTGTGTGTGTGTGTGTGTGTGGCGACAGGATGACGGTAGCGTGCTTGGGTAGAGGGGGAGCCTTTGAATGTGTGGCTGTGGCTCAGGATTAGTCTGTGACCTTGTGTCCTGGGTAAGTTGCTTCCTTCTTCAGCTTGATTTTCTGATGTGGGCATTATTAGGTGTACAGGTACGTTGGTTTAGGGAACTACCTGAGCTTCAGCACTAGCCTGGGAAGAACAGAGGTTGTCGGGGCAGGATGTTCAAGGATTAGTGCGGACGCTCCTGCACACTGTGCCTGTTGTGGCTGTTACTTCACCTCTGTGGGGCTGGAGTTTTCTCCCTGAGGGTGGAAAGAATTTCAAGCCGTGACCTCTCCGGCCTTTCCTGGGCAGGGCGTTCTGTGACGTGTCAGTGCCGTGGAGTCACCGCTCGTAAGCACCGTCTGCACTTGACCTAGACGGGCTGTAGGAGAAGCACCTGCCAGTTCAGAGGCCAGAGTCAGCGCCACAGAGCAGCCTCTCAGCCCAGGAAACGCTGCTGGTCAGTTCACTGCTGGGGTGGGGGTGGGATGTTCTGTAGATGTTTGCTGAGCCCTTCTGTACGTGCCCCTCTCTTTACCCACTCATCCATTCATTCAGTAAACGCGTATTGCCTGAGTGCCTGTCAGGTGTCTGACATGTCCTCGGTGCTGAGGGGAGATGGAGAGTCATCCCATCACTGTCCTTGTCCTCGTGGTGCTTAAGGTCTAGTGGGAGGATGGGCGCTAAGCAGCCTACAGGCAGCCACAACTATGGCAAGTGCTGGTGACCGGCTCCGCATTGAGCCTGGGGACCACCTAGGAGGCATCTCTGAGGAGGGTCGTTGGAGCTGAGATGAGAAAGTGAGCGGCGGTTTGTGTCTTGCCCTCCGCCCTCTCATGTCACTCCGGATAAGGCCTGCAGCTGCCTCTTCCCAGAGCAGGAGCCACCTGAGAGTGGACGATGGGATGGGCAAGAGATGGAGGGACACGCGGATGAGGCATGCTTTGTCAGCTTCTCGGCCTTCTCTGCTGACTCTCGGTTGCCCAGATGGTTGGTCGTCTGACACTTTGTTCCTGAGCGTGGCCGGTTCCTGGCCCTGTTCGGGCTGGTTGGATCCCTCACTGAATAGAACGATGACTCCAGGTTCTGGAGACCCTTGTACTATATTTCTTCCCAGAGCTCTCCCCAGCCTTCCCTGTGGTCCTGAGCACGACGCTGGGTGGCTTTTTATGTTTTGGCCCCTGTGGTGGGTCTAGTAAATTCAATGCTCTTACAGATCCTCAGGAAAGTGACCTATTTCTTTTTAATTTCAGAAAGAGGAGAGAGGCAAAGCACAGAGAGCAGCAGATCAGACCATACCGAACTCCACTGGAGCGTCTGAGCCTGAGACGTGAAGGATGCTGGCTGCCGAGCTGCAGAGGAGGCCCCGGCTCTGAGGGGGAGAGCAGGTCTCACACACACAGCTTCCGCCCCTCCCGGGCTCACCATGGCCTGCACTCTCTGGCTGGCCAGCTGACGTGACTGTGCCCCGAGTGTGCGCGTGCTGGACTGGGTGCTGTCCCAGGTACCGCCTGCTCTCTGGGAGCAGGGCAAGTGGGCATCAGATGCTACCCAAAGCTGGACCGGGCAAAGCAATGGACTCCGACAAGCGAAGATGGAAGTGACCTGAGGCCTCGCCCAGGCGGTTTCCTCTTTCCAGGACAGCTCAATAGTCGGAGCACAGGCTTGTCTGGGGAGCAGTATGCAGGAAGCTGGTTTTCAGGCCACAAATGCTTTCACAGGTGAGAATTCTCCACAGTTAAATGAAAATGCTATTTCAACTCTTCGTTGGTAGGCAACACAATACCAAACAACTGTACAAAATGAAGGTACATTTGCTTTGATGATCTAAAAGGCCATGCAGAGTCAAGGGGCTCAGGCTGCCCAGGTGAACGATTTTGACAAAATAATAGCATATTTCCCTTCTCTCTAAAGAGGAATTTAGAAAAAGCATTTTACATGAGTCTGCTCTTGTTGAGTAATAGAGCGCACACACTACCTTGCAAGTCACATTTCTCTAAAGGACATCTGTCCGTTGCAGAGGAATGTGTAGGGACCTGGTTTTCTTCGTGTTAGTTCTCAGAACTGGACACAGTACCGATAGCACCTGTGGGACAATGGTTTTAGTTTCTGAACATCTCAATGGCTTTACCTTCCCAATATGCTATTTCAACACTTTGTTGATAGGCAAATGCAATACCAAACAACAGTACAAAATAAATGTACATTCTTGACTCTCTATGGCCTTTAGGTCATCAAATAGCATATTGGGAAATAACCAGGAGTAAAAGAAGGGAGTTGTAAGTACCCGGCCTTCTCTGGAGGTGGGTCCCGGTGGACTCAGCTCATCATTTTTATTCGTTGCCTGCTCTTCTCATCTTTCTTTGCCCACACAGTTGGCAAAAGTTACCTAAGGTGTAGGATGCATAAGCTGTCCCTCTGTCGCTGCCCAAGCAGCTAGCTTTGTAAAACTGTGGGTTTACGGTAGATGGAAGTCAGTAGGAGGCTGGTGCCCACCCTCTTAGTTGGTGTGCTTTTCACATGTTCGTGGAGTATACTCTTTTCTTATCCCAGGGCAACTCACAATGCTAACGTCTTAGTTTTTGGAGTTGAAGACAGACTGAGTTTGCTGATTCTCGGGCTCATGGAAAGGAGCCTTGCTTTAGATATCTTCAATGGTGAAGGGGTTAAGGCATTTTTTCCTTGGCTTTTGTTTTAGGGCAAAACAAAAGTTACTGTACTGTTAACCATACCTCCCTCGAAAAATGTGTCAGTTTGTGTTTTGTTCCTGGAGGGTGTTCAAAATTCCTCTTTAATAAGGACTTGGGGGCTGCAGCCTGGCTGGGAGGGGAGGCTGAGGGACCTGGGTGCAGCTGTGTTTGCCTGGCAAGCCCGGTGGTTCGAAGTCTCCTCTTAAGACTTGCTTCCTGTGTGAATGTAGACATATACACATGGATACATATTTCAAATTCAACTTCCCAATTATGATTTTAATAGGCTAAATGTTGCATAAAGAAATTTATATATTGTTTTACATTTTCTCAGTGCATGTAATTTAGAAATGACCTGAACCATGCAGATACTATTTTGTAACAAAAATTTAAATTTCCCCCCCTTTATAAGTACTACCTGCTTATTGTAAGAAAAATTGGAAAGCACATAAAAGCCTAAAAAAGAAAAATAATTACCCATGCAGAATATTGCCATTTTCATTAACACGTATTTTTCCCTGTGCAACATTTTTCTCACAGGACTGTTCATAATGTGTATTCCATTTTAGAACCTGATCATTCTTTTTTTTTTTTTTAAATATAATTTAAAACTGCTTTATGATATCATTTTATGCATGTGTACTTGAATTTTAAAATTGTGCTTTTATTGTTGGACATTGCAGTTTTTGACAGCTTTTCCCCTTATAAATAACGCTCTGATGAATACGTTGTACAAAAAACTCTTCTGACTATTGGGTTATTTCCTTAGGATAAACTACTAGACACATAATTATTAAGTCTAAAGGTGTGAACTTTTTTAAAGGCTTATGTTTGAGTTTCCAAAGGGATGGCTGGTCCTAGCTTCTGGGACTGCGCTGGGCTCAGTTTCTCCCAGTCGTCGGATCGCTGCCCCTGCCGTTCCGCTGTGAGGGGGCCTGCCTGCTGCCCTGCGTGGTGTCGTGAGCTTTTCACGCTTGGGGAGCCCTGCAGTGGGCCACCCGGGACACACCGTTAGGACCACGATGCTGGCATTTCATCGGGTGAGGAGAAGCTCCAGCAGCCTCGGTTTACTGTGTTTGCTCATCCAGGCGGTTTTTCTGCGTGGCTGTAGTTCCCGGAGGCGATGATGTTTAGACAGACTCCGGCGCGATCAGACTTTGGTAGAAACAACCCCCCAGTTGCCTCTGGGCGAATAGAAATGGGCATCCTTCCAGGACGCGCCAGTCAGGCCTCCGCTGAGGCGTCCTGATGGGGATGGAGGTTTCATCTGAGGATTGCTGTGCTCTGGGTGGCGCGGAGAGCACCCTGCCGGGTTATCGCTCTGTACATCCTGAAGCAGGTGCTGAGCTGAGTCCTGCCTCCTCTGCACCCCCAATGTCGCTCTTAGATACTGTGAGGGTTTTGCAGTATTTTCTCAGGTTCTCTGAACCATTCCGTTCGATGCTTGAAACAGCATTTTAAACTTGGATAGCTAGGTAAATGAGTTACATCCCTATAGGACTTGCAAGCCTTTCTTGATAAAAGAATAACCAGACCTAGTTGTTTAGTTAAATGAACTCCTACCCTTGACTCATAAAGGAGAAGGTAGGAGCTGATTTAACCGTTTTTAGGTATCTGAAAGAGAGCTAGTTTATAGGTGATGGTGACCAGATCTATTTGGCTATTGGTGAGCAGAAAGGAAGCACTGCTTCCATTGAATTGTTGGGATGCCTGTTTTTCTCCAGGGATTCGTTCACCCTGGCAGGAGCGCTGGGACCCTTTCGGGGGGGATGCGGTCTTCAAGGAGGCGTGCCTGGAGCCGCACTGTTCCCAGGGCTCTGAAAGGCCCGGAGATCCTGGGTCACCCCCTTCCCACCACCCGGACCTTCAGCTTATTACTCATCCCTTCAAGGCCGCGCCCATGTGCTGATCCGTGGATGACCTCCGCCCACACTCCGCAGAGCTGCCAGGAGGAGACAGTGAACGCTGTTCCTCGCTAAAAGGGATGGGGGGGGGGGGGGGGGCGTGAGGTGGGGTTTAAGGCCAAATTCCGGAAGAAGACATTGAAGTCGGTTCTTTACTGCAGAGCCTCACAGAGGTTAGCATGAGACTGCCACGAAATAGTTGGCAGATAGGCAGATAGTTGGCAGCATTTCCCCAGTGACAAGACCTTGAAGGCTTTTTAGAAAGAAAACCTCGGAGGGACAGCTCCCCGTAGCACGTGCTGCCGGTCTGTGGTGCTGCCGCCTCCAGTCCGCGGTGCAGGTGTCCCTGTCCTGCCCGGCGGGAGCCGAGTCTCCTCCCAGGGCTGCGTCTCCTGAGCACGTGGACGGGGCTCCTGCCAGACAGATGTAAAGCGCCACAGCTGGAAAGAATGCAATTCCCGCCTTCCTTCTCTCCCCTCGCCAGGTCAGCTGTAAATACATTCTCTTGCCCCCAAACTTTCGGGGGTTTCTTCTTGCTTCCTAAGAAGAGTCTGGACTCCTCATCCTGGACTGAGAGCAGATGCCTCTCCCTGGTCCTGGCAGTCTAGATGCCGCCATGAGCTCCGCTGTTTGCTGGTGCAGAGCAGGTGACCGTGAGCGGTCGTGGAGTGGGGAGCGTGGTCCAGGGAGGCTGAGGACTTCTGTACAGCCCCCTGCCTGTCCTCGGAGACGGCCCCGGGGGATGGCTTCTTCCCCAGGGGCCCCGAGGGTGGTGCACGGTGCCGTCCTCAGGTCTCAGGTCGTGGGTGTTCGCCTCCGGGAGCCCGCGGTGGAGTCCCCGGGCTGCAGTTGCTTATCTCAGGACGCCGTGCAGATACGAAACCCGAGAAAGGGGATGCCAAGGGACCACGCGGGACCTCTGGGTGGATGCTGCACGGCTCATTATGAAAACTTCACCAGCAGCAGTGAACGTGGTAATTCGGGCACTCCCCCTTCCCGCCGGCTGTGGCATTTTCGGCTGTTTCCAGGGCTGGACGGCAGCTTCCCTTTGGCCCCAGAAGCAGGATGACCGTGCGTGGTCCACACACCTGCAGGCAGCTCCATCAGAAGTGAGAGGAGAAACCAGGCCGGTCTTACCCTCTATAAGCTTATTTTTTTTTCTTTTGTGATAACATTTCAGAAAATGAAGGGTGCTTTCCTTGCCCTTTTGGAATTATGCTAACACTGATTTCAGATTTGATATTTCACACAGCTGACATGAGGAATAAAGAGGAATTGTTTTCTGTGCCAGGACTTTGCACATACGCGGTCTCATTCAGTTCTTGCGACGGTGCCAGGAGCTGTGCGGGTTCTCCCAGGTGTACCGGGGAGGGACAGCTCAGGCCCGCAGGGGGCCTGCCTGAGGCCACAGCAACGAGTGGCCTCCGCGCCAGAGTGGAGACCCAGGTCTGTCTGTGATGGAGCTGCATCCCGCCGTCCCCCTCTGTGCTGCCTCCGCTTCCTTCAAGCACGTGGGAGAGCAGAGAATAACGGACTACTTCCTTCAGAATCCAGTGCCGGGCGAGAGGGACATGGGAGGGGGGTGTGGCATGGGGAGGAGAGAGACGGGAAATTGAAACTCTAAACTAAACTTGCATATTAAGCATTTGTCAGAGCGTGGTGTCTGTGCTCGGACTTGGTAAATGAAGATTTTACATGCCTGTCTTTTCACAACCTCCCAGTTATTAGGCCATTCTGCTTTTAGAATTTTTTCCTTGCCCTTTCGGAAGTGTGCCATCATAATTCCTAGACCACACGTGATTTTCTTGCATCTCCTTGTGTCATATTATTTGAGTTTCTTCTTTCCTCACTTCTGCCTCCCGCCAGCGTCTGGCACCTGAGTCTCCTGGGACTCGGTCTCCATGTCCTCGCTTGTGCTTTGACTCCCTTCAGGCTCAGCGGACCTGGCTCCAGGTGTGGCCTGCATCATCCCGCCCTGGATCACTCGTGGACACGGCTCTCTGATAGCCTGTCTCTGGGCGGATGCCTGTGCCAGGGAGTGCTATTTCCAGGGCAGAAGGGTGTAGATGGCACTGGCCCTGCCCACCACTCCTACTGTGAGTTGTCTTTGCCACTGAAGCTGTCAGC